CGACAATCAAATTTTTACTGGCATAAAATGCTACAGAAGCCAAAATAAGAACTGAAAAAAGAACTTGTGAGTATGGTAACTTAGAAAACATTGGTTATTTTTGTCAAGAACAGTTTCGCTCAGTGTGGTGGTGGTAAATACCTAGTAGGTTTATGATTAAATGATACATAAGAAAATGGATATAGCAAAAATAACTACTCTTTTAAGAAGCTTGATTATGATAAGTACAGCTAAAAAGCTTGCTAAAGTGAAACATGAACAAAGGTGATATCGTGGTTGTTCTTTTGTTTTGTTTCTAGGATGTTTATAAACAATAAAAAAGGAAGAAGTTGATGAGGTGTTTTTGCACATAGGAAAAAGCAGGGATAAATTGGAAAATGATAGAATACAAAGCGAAGAGGAAAAGCTAGCCTTTGGTAGAAGGAAGAAACTTCTGTTACTGAGATATTGAGATAGAAACAAAGGCAAAAAAATAAAAAGGTGAATATAGAGGTTAACGCTAACTATACATGGGATTAGAAAGAAGAGAAAGCTCGTAATTGATGCAAAAACGTTGTGTGATCATATACTAATAATGAGGAGGGAGTAGTTGGGTGGAACTCTTATGGAAAAAGATTTACAATAGTGGTTTTGGAGAGTATAAGAGGATACTGACAAAGGACACAGACAAGAACTACTGAAAGGAAGTGAATCATATATTTAGAACATCATTATAATATTATGGAGTAGCCCCACTAGAAAGCTTTTAAACCCCAAGGCATAACAAAGCACACATTTAGGAATCACTAAGCCTACTAATGTCATTTTTTAAAATCGTAATTTTATGATGGAAATGATCACATTGATCTGGTCTGTGGGAAGGAAAATATAACTAAAGAAAAGCTAAGGATTTTGTTTACTACTGGAAAGAGACATGGGCAAGTGGTTCTACGATATAATTATCTTTAACTTGTTTATTTTCTATATAATTAGAAGATGCAATGTACTCAACATGGAGGGCTAGAATACCCTGAACCACCTAGGTGACCATAAGCTAATGTTCTCTATATTGAATACTCAGATCTAGCAAGTTCTGAGCAACATTTAAGTCAATGTTAGTGATCTAAGACAGAAGTCAGTCCTGTCTGCTACCCAGACATTCTGAGGTTCCTGAGAGACCCCAAGCAGGGTTCTAAAAAATCACTGGTTTTGCAATATGACTCTACCATCAACTGAGGGTGTAGAGCTCCTGGGGTAGTGTTAGGGGAAAAAACAAAATACAAACAACACAAAACTCCTCCACACCAAAAAATTTCTAGTTCAAGGAATTAGCTCAATTATGGAGATGAAGTACAAACTATCATCCACAAGGCTGAATCTCTTCAATCAAATGATTTTTACATAATTGCTATATATCAGACCACATTGTGTGATTAAGAAAATTCTGTTGCCTTTTCCTATCATTAGAAGGATATAAAAAAGCAATAGCTTATGCTATAAATGTCAGCCTTTCTAGGACTATCTTTGAAACTTCATAGACTATAGGCACTCCCACAATCCAAAGCAGTATCTGAACTTCCAATGAAGTTCAATAAAAACTAACCAAAAAAATCATATGAAATATTGATCCATAGTAAATTGCTTTTATTATCAGGAGTAAGTAAAAGCCATAGAACAGAGTTCAATCCATCCTATAATCCAAAACATCAATACTCTTCAGCAGTAGCTGTGATTCAAAAAAATATATGAAAAACGAAAAAAAACTTACCTTCCGAATACTGTCTAATTTCCTCTTTTCAACTTCAAATTGTTTCATCCAGTGATGTCTCTTTTCTTCTTCTTCTTGAAATTGCTTTTCTTCTCTATCCCTTTGAGCTTTGATGGTTTCTTTCTCTTGGTCTTCTAGTTCTTTTTGTTTGTCTTGCCAAGCCTCAAAAGATTGCCTTAATTTTTCTTCTACTTCACAGTATTCAAAATTTATTTCCCCATCATCTGCATTCATAAAGAGAAATCATATTATTATTTTAAGATCAAATCTGTCAAAAGTGATCCAGTGTAAAGTATAAAAGTAATTTTTAAATGAAGAAATAATTTCACATATTACCAAAGTAAAAGTGATAAACTACAAGAAAATATACTCTTGAATATACATGTAAATTCCATTGCAGTCAATAAAAAAGCACATAACTTGCCTTAAACTAGTCCACAAAACTTAACATAAAAAATGTGTGTGTATGTGTGTGTGTGTGCCTGTGTGTAGGTAAGGAATACTTAAGGGATATTTAATAGATTCAAGGCTGGGTATATCTGTGTATATCCAGCTATAGGTATGGAAAATTATAAATATATTTAAATCAAGTTAATTTAGGAGGCACGAAGAAAACTATGAGAAAGTATAATTTCAAATACTGCGATTGTACTTTTCTAATTGTCAGAAGAAAAAACTAAATTTTCTCAAGCTATGGTAAGATAAAAATTATCAAAAATAACACCTGGAAAAACATGTTCATCCACTGGCAAGTGATGAGGACCAGGCTCTGGTACAGAATCAGGACTGCCATGATGGGTTTTACTTCTCAGAAATTCTTCCTTTTCTATTTCAGATAATATCTAAGCGGTTAAAAAAGAGTACCAATGATTAAAGAAACCAAAAGAGAGAGTAAAGCTATCATTTTAATAATATATTAAATATTTACATATACATATCTAGAACTTTACTTCAAAACTCTAATACAGTTCTACAACACATTAGTATATATTGTCTTTATGGTAAGTAAAAATGTTTTTCTCAAGCAAGTCTACTGTATTTTATCCTCATGTTTTTCAGAACTCTAATCACTCTATAATATTAATCCACAATATTCACTTAAACTTCTTGATAATCATTTAAAAATATTTCTACTAATATTTGTTTTCCACCTAATATACTTCTTTCTTATCTGTAGTTATTGCTCACATATACAATTGCTAATATATTCAATATGTTTAAAAAACAGAACGATTCTCTAACCCGAATTATACATAAGTCATAATTTTGATGAGTACTTTTCCATAATTAGATTTCCATCATAATCTAGTTGGAAAGAAATAGGTTCTCTAGTCCAATGAAACAGCAGTAAGATAATTCGAAATTAATATTTTGTTTTAGTGCTACCAAAAGAGTGTCATAGACATACATAAAAGTGATTTTCATATTATTTTAGACATCTTAGGGAGCAGAAATAGAATTAGATTTAAAAAAAAAAGAATTTGGTAAAATGAAAGTTAAAAACGAATCCAAGATGCTGAAACTGTAGAAGAGATTTTTTTGTAAATGTATTTGAAGGGATATTAACCAAAAATGTTAGTTAGCTCTTTTACTTTTTAATTTAATTTATTAGGGTGACATTGGCTAACAAAATTATATAGGTTTCAAATGTACAATTAAATAATACATCATAACTTGCATTGTATTTACATTGTGTTCACCACCCAAAGTCAAATCTCCTTCCATCACCATATATCTGACATCCTTTACCCTTATCTACCCTCCCCGCTCCTACCTTTCCTTCTTGTAACCAATAAACTGTTGTCTGTGTCTATGAGTTTTTGTTTGTCTTGTTCATTTGTTGCTTTCAATTTTATATCCTAAATATAAGTGAAATCATATGGTTCTTAATCTTTTTCATCTGACTTATTTTGTTTAGCATGATTATCTCAAGATCCATCCATTATCTCTCCTTTACTCTTATTTTTTAGGGATATTTAATTCTATCTTTAAAAGAAAACTAATGCAAGATGTTCTATGTTTAAATTTTCTGTAGAGTATTCAATGTCTCTGCTGGAACACAGTACATTCCTAAGCAAGGTAATAAACAATAGGGGGAAAACATCATGTAATACAGTTCTGTTTTATCTACCGCACATTAAATTCTCAAGTATTAATGCTTCAAATCACTATTGCTAATATTTTTAAAAATTGAAATTTCAGTGGTTTTGTATTATATGCCAAAAAAATCACCAAAAATAATATGCTTAAACATAATTAATTTATTATTATTTTTTTAAATTTTAAATTACAGCTGACATGCAATATATTATTTTACATTAGTTTCAGGTGTAAACTGAAGCAAAGTGGTTAAATAGTTATATAATTTATGAAGTGATTCCCCTGATTAGTCTAGCACCCATCTGGCACTATACATAGTTATTACAATATTATTGACTATATTCTCTATGCTGTACTTTACATCACTATGACTATTTCAAACTACCAATTTGTACTTCTTAATCCCAACACCTTTACACCCAGTCTGTCCCCAACCCTTCTCCCATTTGGCAACCATCGTCTTGTTCTCTGTAAATTAATTTTTAAATCAGTGAACTTTAAATCAGTGAACTATCATCCTATATAAGAGGGAAAGGTAAATTTCTTGCTATAATATTGAGTACTTTCAGTCAAATGTTGAAAATATACCTTCATTAATTGGTCTGGATTTTCTTTAGATTCAGTTGATAATTCTATCCTTAAATGCATATGATTATTAGAAACTGCTCCATAATTATAGCCTAGAGAAATAAAAAACATTATAACTTTAAATATTAGAGTAGGGCGTAAAATGCTAAAATCCTGAATCTTATCATTATCCTTTAATCTCAAATTTTATTATAGTATATTCTTGATCAGTAACTCAAAACAACAGAAAAATAATGAAGAATAAATAATAGAAGAAATTTATAAACTTTATTCTAAAAAAAGTAACAAATTTTGAAAGCACTCTAATTCTTTATTATCTTTCATATTCTAGACTGGTTTATCGTCCATCATACACAGAATAATACTTTGTTTGATGGTGCAATGAAATTTTGATTAGAAATCAGCAAAAGTTTATTTTACCTGCTACAAACAAGCAATATAATCATATGGAAAATACTTTAATAAAAGTATGAGTTTAAAAGATTGTAATTACTAAAATGCGATTGAAGTGAACTTTCATTCTTGATTTTATAAGTTTTTTTGAGCTTTCTCAGGTGTTTTTTATCATCTGTGAAGATGTAGTTATGTTTCTTTTATTTATTCATTTAATTTGTTATATCATGTTAATGTTTCCTAACAGTAAACTATTTTTTAAAGATGACCATTCTACTGGTTAACTGACCATTTACACCTATTTTGTCAAACATTATAGAGTTTCTTCAATAACTATTCACAACCTTTCTGGTATGCTTTCCTATGTGAGAGACTGAAAAGCAAAAATAATAATAATAATAATAATAATAATAATAATAATATTCTCCAAATTCCTTTAAAGCTAGGTTTCTAAGGGTGATTTAGGTTCTATCAATTATATATTTGTTTGTCTTTATTTTCATAAAAATATTATGTGTGAAGAGAGGCAGGGAGCTATATTTTAATTTTTTTTGGCCCAGATCATGATAGAGGAAGATATGGGTTTGAGATAGATGTGTATAGTAGAGGATAAATGTCTCTGAATTTCTTAATTATGTCAGACAGCAGGACCTGCCCAGTTCTACAATGTATGTGTGTATATATTTTGTCTGACATTCTGTCTGCAGTCTGCTTCTTCAGTTATATTAACCATCTGTTATTTATTATATTGTCTAGTCTCCAATGATGTCTCCTCCATACTTTCTGGTATGTACACCTGTGTAGTTCCCCCCACCTTCAACCCTGTGTAACCATCAAGGTGTGGTAGAAATGATGCTGCATGACTTCTGAAAAGAGGTTAAAAGCAGCCTTAAAAAGTTCCATCTTAGTCTCTTGGTATTTTGTTCATGGCACGCTCCTTCTCAATGCCCAGGTGCCATGCAAGCTATAGGGAGAAAACACATATAGGTATCTCCAGTTGACAGCACCACCTGAACTCCCAGCCAACAACTGTATCAACTGTCAGCCATCTGAGTGAGCCATCTTGGAATTACAATCCAGTAATGACTTCAGATGACAGCAGCCTTAATCAACATCTGACTCTAAATGCATCAGATATACAAGCAGTAATTGCCCAGCCAACCCACAGAACTATAAAATATAACAAATTGTTATTTTAAACGACTGTTTATTTTGCAGCAAAAAATAACCAGAACATCTATTCTACCCATAAAACAAGCAAACAAATACCTCCCCAAACCTTACTGCTTAACATAGCTAAAATGGCTTCTGATAACTACAACTGAGAACCTTAATCAATACATCTATAGTCATAAATGAAATTAGCCTCTGGCTTATTTTGTATGTATTATACTTGTACAGTTTTATTTTTAAAATATGAAGCATTTTATAAATATTATATAATCTGTAGAATTTCTGCTCCTTGACAGATTTTAAGAATTTAATTGCAAAATTATTCCTAGTTTCTAACTACATTTGAAAAGAAATCCCTTTCTACCTTCTTGTCAGATTATTGATTTAATAATGTTTTCCATTTTTCTTATACAATGTTGATAATTTTAATTTTCTTGGAAAATTATTCTATTTATTGAGACTATTAAATATATTTGACTAGAGCTATATATGACTTCTCATAATTTTCTAAACAACTGCTATAATTATAGTTATGTAACATTTCATGTAACTAATTTTCTATAACTGTTTCCTTTGATTTTTTTATAATTAAGCTAGATAATTGTCAAAATATTTGTATTTTAATTGTATAAATCTTAATTTAAAAATAAACAAACCATTACTCCCCCTTCCCTGCCCCATAACTCAACTATAGATAATCACTGCCAAATTTGGAGCATCTTCATATAGAGTAAGTCTTTACATATCCATTCACACAGATGCTCAGGACAAAATTCTTGAAGCCACCTTCCTTTCTTCCTTTCATGCCAATCCATCAATAAATCCTTTTGATTCTTCTATCTTAAAAATGGTTTCTAGACTATGACCATTTTCATAATTTCTACTTAAATTACTCTCATTTCTAACCATCCTATTAAAAGTCTTACAGAAGACTCTTACCACCTCAATGCATCTTGTCTACACAGTTACCAATATGACTGTCTCAAACTGTAAGTCAGATATTGTCACTCCTTAGTCAAAAATCTTGATATATGCAGAATAGAATTCAAAGTCCACACCATGGTTTATAAGAACTCTATATGGTTCGACCCCTTGTTTTCTTTGATACAACTACAAAGGCTAACTGTTCTTCAAACATATTAAGCCTACTCAGTGTGCCTTGACCTTTACAATTCCCACTTTCTGGAATATTGGCTCTCTGGATAGCCTCATGGCTCATCTTCTCATTCATTAATATATCCATGAGGTTTACTTTCTCAGTCATTGCTTAAATATCACCTCAGAGGGGCTTTCCCTCACTACCCTATCTAAAATAGCAACCTCCAAACTCTATCCCCTTATCTTGATTTTTTTCCTTCTTAGCAACTATCTCTATTGAAATGTTACATATTTATTTAGTTGTTTATTGTCTGTCTTCTCATACTGAAACATTAGAACAGGAAAGTAGAACCTTTGCCTATTTTGTTCTCTTCTATATTTTCAGTGGCTAGAACAAATCCTTTTACACAGTAATATTTGTTGAATAAATATCTATGGATATCCACATTATAATTTATGCTAACACTTGCACAAATGACCTTGAATTTTATAACAATTTTAATAATATATTATTACTATTTCTTATGTCATTAAATAATTGTCTAAGCTACCTTTTTAAATGAGTATACTATTGAATACAACAAAGTCCTGTTGAACATTTAGGTTGTTGCCATTTTTTCCTTGTAAACTAAGCCATGATTAATTCTAGTTAAATCTCTGATCATTCTTTTATTATTAGAATAATTCAAAAAAGTAAATTTGCTCAGTTGAAGAAAATAAAGATCGTTATGCTTTTTAAATAAATTTTATTTTCCTCCAAATAAATAGTCGCATGATTAGTTTTCTTTTCTTTGATGTAAACAGAATGTCTGGTTTTTATTAGGATTGGTGGCTAATATTTATTGGAGACATAATGCAGGTAGTGAGGAAAATAAATAAATGAACTAAATTGAACATTCCAATATACTATAAAAATTATATTAGAGATAAATGTATATATCTGCATAAAATAAGAGATAAAAACTTCAGTTAAATTTTTCATACTTACAGAAAACATATATGCCAAACTATACTTACTTAAAACATCAGTATCTTCTAAATCTTGAAGAATGAGCTCTTCAGCAGTTTTACTCTTTTTCTTTATAATGTTAATACAGTGAAGAACTGACTGAGGTAATTCACCTAAATCCTAAAAAATTCAATAATGAAAAAAACTATAAAATTGTTTATCAAAACTATGTGTCAAATATTCCTTCCTTCAGTCCATACCAAACATTTGAGCAAAATGTGTAAATGAAGTAAAAGGGTTCCATATAAAGAACATAGTTCAAACAAATATATTTGGTTAAAATTTTCTCTTCATTTTCAGGTGTCATGAATTATATCATGATTATTTTTGGATTTCATAATCAAATGAAGAATCTAGGGGGGTTCTGTTTCACTTAAAGTGGATAAAAAGATATAATAGTGTAAAAACATTAATTTTTCCTAAAGGAACATATAGGTTATTGAAATTCTAATTAAAATCCAAAGTGTAATTATGTTTTGAAACTACAAATGAGTTTTTTTAACAAAACTTAGTTGACAGTATTTTGAAACAACAAAATAACTAAAAGAATTTAACCCATTTAATATTTATGAATATAAAAACTACAATAGAGCAAAAATTAACAAAATAATGGAAAAGAAAAGATAGCCTGGATCAATCATATGTATAACAAATATATACAAAACATGACAAATCAATTGAGAAGAGGTGGATTATTCAACAAGTGACACTGGGAACATTAGTTTATTCAAGAAAATTTCAAATTAGATCTTTATTTCATAACATACCTGAAAGTAAATTCCCACTGGATTAAGGACATTGATGTAAAAGAATAAATCCATGAATACATTTTTCTAAGCATATAAACATTGGGGAGAATACACAAATGAAAATGATACCATGTTGGATTCCAAAAAAGTAACTATTTCTATAGGTCTAAAGTTTTAACATAAATTTTGCTTTTGATCCATCTATAATCACATTAGAATGCTTATGATTAAATAAAAAAGCAGAATTCAAATATATATATATGTAAACATATATATGTACATAATATAGTATAATCCCAGTTTTACCCAAAAATGCACATGTATATATGTGGAATTATAGGTGATTTTTATCTTCGACATACTTTTTTTATTTAAATATATACCAATATACATTGTTTAAAGTTGAAACTAAGGATAAACATGAAATAATTGTATAAAACACATTGAGAAAGTAATCTCTCTCCTGAAAAGCTTACTCTAATTAAAAGTCTCAAAAGTCCAACACTTAACACTTACTGTATCACTATCATCACTCTGGGTTTCTGATTTTGAATCACTACCACCATCATCTTTTTCCAAGGAAGAAATGCTGATTTTATCCAATTCAGCTTCTATTTCTTCTTCGAGCTTTGCATCATCATCATCGTTATCTTCCATCATCCTTCATAATAAAACATAGAACTATTTAAAGAATACTGAAGAGGACAACAAAATTTATGAGTTCTTTAATGTCATACCAATCCAACATTGTTCTACATAAACATGTTTCAGTTTAACAAACTTTTATAACATCTTATTATGGTTGTACCATATATTTTTAAAAAAACCATTGTTCTCTCTCCATTCATTCATTATTTCTTTAATGTTTTACTGCATAATGATTCCAATAATAGCCTTTTAATTCTCTAAGGGAAAAGTTACATGGAATGGGCTGGCTGACCTTCCTGAACCAAACTTCACAGTAAAATTCAGCCTCATGGAAATGATTAATGGGAAAATACCTTTGGATAGCTTGAATATTCAGAGATTAAAATACTCATAAGAAAACAATCTAAGTCTATGTATGGGAAAACATATGGCTTGTTTCTACTCATTAACTCATAGTTGTTCATTTTACCAGAGATAGCCACGTTTTTCCAATAATAATATGTAATAATGGATACGCAGCATATAAAATCAATATTTATTTCATTTAAATCATTAATGCTAATAATGAATATGAGTCAGTAAGTACATTACAGTTAATCTTTGCATCATCATCATCATAACAACCATCATTGGCTTCCATGTAGTGAGTACCTGTGACAAGCTAGGCCCTAGAAGCCATTCGCATGATGGATAATCTTCAGAATAATTTACAGGTTAAAGGCCTTTATAGTCATTGTATAGATGAGAGAACTGAGGTTTGAAGAGGTTACTTAACTGTCCATAGCATTATGCTAATAAATAATAGGGGCAGGATCCTGATTTAGATATCTTGAATCTAAATGCTGTGCTCTTCACTACCAAATGGTTTTCAAGCTTAGTCAAGCTATTCATCTGTCCAGCAATCATTCTGAACATCCCTTTGTCCAATAGTCTTCAAATTGCAGATTATAACCCACTAATGGATCAAGAAATAATTTAGTAGCTCTTGATTATCAAATTTTAATAACAGGATAGAAAAGTTAGAATAGGCTGGAAAAGAAACTACCAGGTGCATTCACAACAGTGCAAGGTGTTAAAAATACATTGATTAAACAAGATAACCTGTTTTCATAGTTTATAGTCTAGTTAACAAAAAAAATTAAACACTCTCATTTTTCTATTTCTTTTCTTTCAACCTCTTCTTACTCATCTTACTAGGGGAGGAGTTTCTTTTCCTAATAAAGGGTTATTCTCTACTTTTGCTCTGAATTTCACAAATGCTCACCTACTGAACTGTGCTCCATCTACTATTCCTTCTGTTTATTGTCTTGCCATACATTTTATTCCACTGACCCCTCTCCACATGAACACAATGAGTTTACTCCTATCCCTCCCCCAAAAAACTTCTGTGCCTGCCTTTCTTCTAACTATAGATATCACATTTCTTTATTTCACACATAAATGACTTAATTAGACGGATCTACATGTATTGCCTATACTCTTGAGTATTTATCCCAGAAAAATGAAAACTTATATACACACCAAAAACTGTACAAAAATGTTCACAACAGTTTTATTCATAAGAGTCCCAACCTGGAAACAACCAAACTGTCCCTCAAAAGGTGAAAGGTTAAAACAACTCTAGTACATGCATACCATGGAATAATACTAAGCAATATAAAGAATAAACTATTAATACATGCCACAATACTGATTAATCTCCAGAAACTACGCTGAGTAATCAAAGCATGACATACTATATGATTCTATTTCTATAATATTTTTAAGTGACACAATTTTATAAATGGAGAACAGATTAGTGATTGCCAGCAGGTGGGGTGGATTAGGTTGGGGAAAAGGTAGTTATGGTGATAAAAAGGCAACATGAGAGATTCTTGTAGTGTTGGAAATGTTTAATATCTTGATTGTGATAGTAGATTATAGTGCATACTCAGATAATAAAAATGATATAGAGCATATATACACAAATGAGTATAAGTAAAATTGAGGAAATCTGAATAAGCAGATTCTATCAATATCAATATCCTGGTCATGATATTATACTGGTTTACAAAATATTATCATTAAGAGACACTAGACAGCATACAAAGGATATTTCTGTATTATATGTGACTTTACAATTATATCAATAAAATTCAATTAAAGATATCCTAAGTACTAAGAAAACAGGTAAATTATAATGGATCCACAGAATGAAATAACATACAAATCGTTTTAAAAAAAAATAAGTTCCTTTACTGTACTTTTCTGGAAAGGTAGCCAAGAAGAAATAATTGAAAAAAAGGTAAGTGGCTGAAAAATATGTAGAATAACATCACTTTTATGTAATCACACACATATACACACATATACTTTTTTTAGACGTAGAAACTTTCTTGAAAACATTAGAGAACTTTCAGTTTTCATTTCACACCTTTATGCTGAATTATTTTTAAATAATGAATATGTACTACTTTTATAATTTTAAAATCTAGTTCAAAAAATACTCAGTTATCCACAACCTCCTTTCTCCAAAGAAAAGCAAAATAAAACAACACTACCAGTGCAAAATGCTAACCCGTAATCAAACTAACTTAAAGTGCAATTCAAAAGCTTTATTAAGTGGAAATTAGGGGTTTTTTGTTTGTTTGTTTGTTTAAGGTAGCTATAAAGCAGAATGCACGGGTACACAAAACTTTATGTAGAAGGAAAGGCAGGTGTATAAGGTAAAGGTAAGAGTCACTTGCATTATATGTCCCTCTACGCTCATCTACTGGCTCTTTAGATCAGCCCTGTCCAATTACATATTCAAGCACATATGTAATTTAAAATTTTCTAGTAGCAACTATTTTTAAAGTAAAGAGAAACAGGTGAAATTCATTTTAATGTTTTATTTAACTCGTTTTATCCAAAATATTTCAACACGTAATTATCAATAAAAATTAACATCAATGTAAAAAGTGGGAAATCTTAAGGAACTCCACTCTGCGACTATAGTTCTTCAACTATAAAGAAAGGGAGCGAAATCTATTTTCAAAGGTAACAAAATTATATGAGGAAAGGGAGCGAGAAAGAAAAGAGAACAGGAGGAAGAGAGGGAGGAAGAGAACTGCCACTTAGAGCCGGTAAAAGAGTAATTATCGAAGATTCCCTAGAAAGTCAGAGTAGACCTTCAAGTTTTGTGTGAGCTACCAAAATTTCCAAGTTGAGGGGAGCCTTGAGCTTCACGGACTCACGCAGCCACTCTTTCGGCACGCGGCTACCTTCCTCCTTTTCCCTAAAGCCTGGTCTTGGCAGAGAGGGACCCGGCTCAGTCTGCGTTCCCACACCGTTCCCTTTCCTCCTACACCACGAACCCCGGCCTTGAGGGGTCCCGGCTCACCCACCAGTGGCTAAATTTCTCCGTGTGGTTGGAAGACAGCGCCCAGAGGCTCCAAACAAAGTGTAACCACGGCAACAGCCAATCCCAAAGACGATGGATCGGCTTTTTCTTACCGGTGCCCCAGTAGGACAAACTATCTACATTCGAAATTGGAACTAACGCTGCATCCCGGGAGCTGGATACGGAAGTTAGGTAGATTTTAATATTTTAATAATTTTGGAAAGCATTTAATAAATAAAGTGTATTTTGCCACAAATATCCAAGTAGAGGTAGCCTGATCTTTAAATTGTTTGTGATCTATTATATTTATTACTTGGATCTAGTGAACGTTGAGTTGCTTATGTAAATTGTTCATTCCACAAAAACTTAATTCTGAATAGTTATTTTTGGGGTCTGGAAATATAAAAGAGAAGCCATAAATCGTTTGTCTTCCATGACAACAGTTTCTTTTTAGAAAGGAAAAAAAACGATTGTCAATGCCTATCAAACACCTCTAAATTAATGGGTATATGGGGTAAAAAATTAGGAAAAACACTTTCTGGAATGTTTTACTGTAAAATTTTGGCAGTGACACTATTTTAATATGAAATATGAAATTTAAGAGTTTACCATGCTATTTAATTTTAACTTAAAAATTGATCAAAGTTTCTTTTATGTGGAGCAAATATATAGTGTACAAAATATGAAATTTCATTTTATTTAGTAACAGATATTTCTCATTTTAATTTTTTTAAGTTTGCAAAGAAAGCGTTAAATTCCAAGAGGAGGTGGTTAAGCATAATCGTAAAAGATATTTGATATACAATAAGCTAAAAGCAAACATTTCATGGAGCCTTTGAAAGGAAATAGACTATTTCCTGGAAACAATAAACTTGTATTGCATCAATATAAGAATAATATAAAGTTAGAAATCAGTAGACTTTTGATATTGAAAAAACATGTTAGTTCCTCGTTCAAGAAAGATAATGATTTTCAAAAATAAACTACACCTGGTTTTAGATCTAATTAAATTTAGGATATTTTCATCAAAGTGCATCCTAAAATGCTCCCCGCTTTTTTTAGTTAAGTTTTGTTGCTGGGTTATAAACTATTCAAACTCTTCAGTTAAAATGATCAGACTACCATATTATGTTGAAATTCACATGTAAAAAGTCTTAAGATTTTGTTTGTAATTATGAAACTATTTGGACTTCTAAAAAATATAGAATCCATAATTAATTAATTAATTTCTAAAATTAATTTTAAATAGCTAATTTAATAATCGGCTAATTTGAAGATGATGTCTAGATTGCTTCCTTCTTAAAGCTTACCTTGTCAAACAAATATTCATGTTATTTTTTACTTTGGAAGAAAACTGACAACTATATCAATTAGTTATACTTTGGTAATCTCTAATTTATATCACTAATTATGGAACAAAATACAATACTTGTTTAAAGTAGTTATAGATTATAAAGCAATTAAATTGAAATTACTATGTAACGATGCAATGCTTAGCAGAAATTTATTTAACTGCAACCTTCCTAGAAATTATAGCCTAAAATCGAGTATGTTAGTTTGCTCATAATTTTGACCTGAGTACATTTTTTTCTTTTTTAATAAATAACATTCTTTTCATTAAATTTTGTTCTTATTTTGAAAATCATCTACAGGTCTGGTTGGTTTATATCCTATTGGCCTAACACAACATATTTCCCTAAGAAGCACATGGTATTTATTGAGAGAATGAAAAGATGAAAGAACTATTTATTCTTCAGATATCTGACAAGAATAAGATTTGTTTAAAAATGTTAATTGATGGGTTGACTTTAGATTAATAGTATTCTTCAACAGATGACTTATTCGTCATATGGCAATGATGTAATTTAAATATGCTGGAATATCATTGTAGTATTCAAATAGCTGCATAGCAAGTATTTGCTTGTTGTTTTTTTTTTTTTCATTTTCCTAAGGGCAATTATTAAGTCATAAGATTTTTAATATGCAACTCAATGTGTTGGATTCTTAGATATTTGCTTCTCTTTTCCCACTCAAAGACTCTCCTAAACCTTCAAATTTCCTCTCTAACCCTCCATGTTCTGTTTCCCTGCAGCTGTTCTGACCAGCTAATTCAGAGTTCATCACTTTCCCACAGGTCCTATCCCATTTCCCATCCTCATGCTCACCTCCCTTGTATAATTTTCGTATTTCTATACGAAGATGTAGTATAATGAAGTTAATAGCTAGCATTCAGTCAGGCACTGGGCTAAGTGCTTTACAAACATGGTTTCTTTTAATTTTCACAACATGCTTTTGAGTTGTGTGCTATTATAGTGGATGTTTATAGTCGATGACTTATATGGTTTGTATCTCTGGGTTTGATTCTCAGCTCTGCCACATCGTGACTACGTGATCTCAAGCAAGTTTTTTTTACCTTCCTGAGTCTCATTCTCCATTGGTAGTTCTGGGAGTAATAGTGCCAAATTTGCAAAATTTTGATGGTCAGGGAATCAAAATAAGCAACACATTTTAGGACTTGAGATGATGCTGATAGCATATATTTAAGCTCTATGAACCTGAGTTTAAGTTCTCTTTGCCTCTTTCTAATATCCCAATGCTGGCAATTCTACTTCCTATTATTCCTCTCATATCCTGAAGCTATTCTACAGCCATCTTTCAGTTTAGACCACATTTATTCCTTATGAATGAGTGCATTAGCATTGAAAATTATCTCTCTGTCTTAGGTTTGTTTTCTAATTTGACTTCCGTGCTGGTGACAGAATTATGCTTCCCTGCTACCTTTGGAAAATAAACGCAATTCTTAGTAATTCTTAGTAAAGCATACGTGATCTTTCACAATCTTTACTGAGAGACTTCTCTAGCCTTATCTTTCATTTCTTGCCACTCTCACCCATGCTCCCATGCATTTCACTGGAAAGCTTGTGAACACAGTGTTGAAAAATTTCTACCTCTACCCCATTTTTATCTGACTGGGACCTTCTTAATTATCCCTCAAAGATCATCTCAAATTTATCTTCTCTGTGAAACTTCCTAGTTACCTTTAGTCCCTGTCCCTCAACCCCAATACGTAATTCAGAGTTGGCCACAGGTTTTAATATTTGACTCGTTGACAGTTTGTCTTATTTATTCAGTTTTGTGTTTTCATCTCCTAGCACTTAGAAGGAACTTAAAAATAAAAAAGTAATTAGAGTATTATTTAACTAGTGAAAATGACACCTAGAAGTGAATATTGTAAGTCGTCCTTCACTATAGCATTTATACTATTAAAAAATACCTCTGTTGTTGGACCATTCATTAACTAATCAGGAAATGAAAAAAAGAAATACCACACTAAGACTATAAAGTTAAAGACAAATTATTTGTCTAAAGCGAAAGAAAAAATGTAGATATTCCATGAGACAAATATTTAAATAGAAACTTCACTAACTTGTTGTGTCTTTGTGTTAGCATATCTACATTTTCAATGTTGTCTTTTCCAGTATGTGGGGCTTATGGAAGAAAAGATCAGCACATCTCCTCTTACCATTCTGTGCAAACATGGCTATGGGCTTCCTTGACTTGTTGCTTAGATGCCTTGTTTGTTGTGTTCTAACTCTTTAACTTGAATTGCTTGCTATGGTTTGGATGTTTGTGCTCCCCACCCACAAATTTACATTGGAATTCTTACACTCAATATGATGGCATTAGAAAATGAGAATTGTAGGAGGTGATTAGGTCATGAGATTGTATTCTTTGTGAATGAGATTAGTGCTCTTATAAATGAGATTCCAGATTGCTCCTTAACTGCTTTCTTCACGTGAGGCTATAACAAGAAGTTTGAAACCTGGAAGAGGGTTCTCACCCAGCCATACTGGCACCCCAATCTTGATTTCCAGCCTCCAGAACTGTGAGATATATATTTCTATTGTTTATAAGCTACCTTGTCTGTGATATTTTATTGTAGCAGCCCAAATGGACTAAAACGCTGCTCTTTTGAAGTTCTTCTTCAAAAGAACTTCATGAATATCTTCTTCACTAAGTTGGCTGACTTTGAGTACTGAATTCTCACTCTTTGTTAACCTCTGTAATGTAACACTACTTTAGAAATTTCTTCCTCTATTGGTTTCTATGAGATCATACTTTATCTTCTCATTTTGCAAAAGTCTGCTTAAAAAAAAACCCATCTTCCTAATAATGTCATTCTCTACCATCAGACCTCTCCTCAGTTTTATCTACAGTCAATTCCTCTTCTCTTTCAGTCACTCCCATGACATCACGATCTCTCTGTGGATGACTCCTAAGTTGGCATAGCTTATGCTATCTGTTTGTGCTTAACCACAAAGACATTTTCTACCAATTCAAACTCAATTAACAGAGTATTAAATTTATGAAATTTATGAATTTTTTAAAACAACTTTTCTATTTTCAGTGATTATCATTATTCTTTTATTTTCGCATCCTATGGGAATCCTTCTGATTCTCACTGATTATTTTCCCTAGTAAAGCAAATGAACACTGTAGCTAGGCCCTCACTTTCTCCCTCTAATTATCTTTTATAATGTCCTTCCCTAACTGTCGAGCATTTTGTTTGACTCTCCCCACCCTAATTCACTCCTTTCCTTCATCTTGGGCACACAGTTACCTTCACCTCCAGCTGTGTAGTGCCGAATGACTAAGTCTGTGCAATGAAATATGAGCAGAAGAAAAATGTGCCACTTCCACCTCACTCGGTAGAAAGATACTTGCCTGAGTTTACTCATCTTTTCTTGTCTGCTGGCAATAAAGGATGACACCTTGAGCAAATTTGGGAGCAATCTATTGCTGGAGCAAGCCCCAGATTCCTAAGATGATTTCCTAGAAGAGAACCAACTACACACCTTGGGCGAAGGGAAACATAAACTTCAGTTTATTTTTATATTTGGGTCTTTTGATAAAACATTTTAACTTTGACTCTAACATGCTACTTATTACCAAATCGATAGTCAAATACATGTCTTCAACATTTCACACCAGATTTATACACAGCAATCACATTCATTTGTCTCTGCAGAAAGACCAAGACTTTGGGCTTAAGTTCTTATTCAGCCTATAATTGAGGATCACACTTTCTCATATTCTGAAGTAAATAGAATTGAAGCCAATATCTATATATATATAAAGAGAGACCTACAGCATCTTGAAGAGAAACTGAAATAAAAATCAAGTGTCTTTTCCAGCTGAGTGTCCTATTCAAACAGGCTAAGCACTGAAAGAATCCAGGAATAAGACTAGAGGACAGAAACCAAATGACAGCAGGAGAGTTCAAAGCAGAGGATGGAAGACAATACCTGGGGAGAACTCTTAAACTGGGAAGAAGAACCTTAGGAGTTTTTAGAAGGAATGCGACCTCAGGTCAAAGTAGGGAGGGAAGTGCATGAACTCTAACCTTGGTATCACCTATTTCTTCAATTTCCAATGCATCCTTCATTTCAACAAATAGATTGGTTTCTTCATAACTAGTAAAAATAGCTTCAAATTAGTGTTATTAAATCTTTCATCACTTTAAGTATTCACTGCATGTATTCAAACATTGTAAACTACAATACTTATTTTTATGGTGCTAGCTAGAGTTAAAACAATGAAGGAAAAAAGAAAACCCAGAAACATACCCAGGAATATTTAAAACTTTGATATCTAATAAAGAACCAAAAACCGATGGAGTAGTGACTTTTTCATAGACATTTTAGGAAAAATTGGCTCTCTGGAAAATAATATTTAATTAAAACAACCTCAGTTACACTGTATATAACATAAATTATAGACTAAATAATTTCATTCATTCATTCAACAGTTATCTGTTAAGTACCAACTACGTGCTAGACTCTGGCGTTATAATGGTATACAAGACCTACTCTCTTCACTTAAAGACCTCAGAGACAATGTAGGAAGAAAGACAAGTCAAGGAGAAAATAAGCCAAACTTGAAGTTAGTCAAGGCGAGACCGCAAGGAGGAGCTGACGAGTAGGGGAACACAGAGGTGAAGGAACACTTTCCTGCAAGAAGAAAGGTGTGTTAAGACTGGAAACTGTATAAAATATTTTATTTTCTGAAAACTGTAAGCTATTGATATGTTATACCAATGCCCCGTTGGTCTCAACTGCCTAGCCAAAATGTGTAGATAAAGACAGATACGGTTTCAAGATATCTTCATTATGTCCTTATGTTCAAAAGGGTGAAGAGGGATGTTATTACTGACCATTCGTATGAGAAGAAAAATGTACAAATAAACGATATTAGAACTTAAAATTGTTACTGTGGCAAGTGTTTATAGTAAAAGTTGTGCTTATCTTTTCAGAATAATCAATATCTGGGAAGGAAAAGAATGTTAAGGAAAAGTAAATCTTTAATTTTTAAATACTTTCTTAATCTCATGAATGGAGCTTTCTTGGTAAGAATCTTCAAAATTATTTAGTAAAGAAAATGAAATACATTTTTTTTGTCAATTACTAAAACTCGCATTGACTCTTTCTGTAGGTTCTTGGACTTTTACTGATGGGATTTGCTGCATGGCTTTTACTAGATAGAAATAATTTTTTTACTGCTCTAGGTATGTCCATATTTTCCTTTTTCTCTCTGAATGAAACAAGATATTCCATTTTAAACAACTGCATACATGATTTATTCAGCAGGTGGCAGTATTTCTCTAAAATTCAATTTTCCTCTGAAGGTCTCTATCAATTGATTTTTAAAACATCTTATAAATAATAGGACTTAAATCCAAGACTATAAAGGAGAGAGAATTTTGAGAAAGAAAGCTAGGAACTTTGGACAAAGGGAATGATAGAAATGGAAAATATTGATTATTCTACTAACTTTGGATCTTTATGGATCTATGTGGACTTCAAAAGATGATGGAAATTAACATAGTTTCACTGCTCAAGTTAAATAATCTCCTTTAAACCTCAGTTATCATCTACTCTCATTATAACATGGTTAGAAATAAAATATTATATTCCCTATGGAAACAACTTGTGTCCATCAATGGATAAATGAATGAAGATGTGGCATATGAATATTATTCGGCCAAGAGAAAGAAGGAAATCTTGCCATTTCTGACACCATGGATGAACCTTGAAAGCATTATGCTGAGATAAATCAGAAAGAAAAAAAGACAAATACTGTATGATATCATTTATATGTTAATCTAAAAAAAACCATAAAAACAGAATATAATGGTGGTTATCAGGGGCTGGGAGTGTTATCAGGGACTGAAGTTATGTTGTTTAATGATACAAACTTATAATTAGTAGATACATAAGTTCTAGCAATCGAATGCACAACATAATAATTATAATCAACATTACTGTATTATAGACTTCAAAGTTACTAAGAGACTAAATCTTAACTATCCTCAACCAAAAATAAATGATAAATATATGGCATGATAAAGGTGTTAGCTAATGCTTCTGTAGTAATCATGTTGCAAATATGTAAAAGGACCAAGCCAATACATCGTACACTTTAAGCTTACAAGATGTTTTATGTCAGTCATATCTCAATAAAAATATTTCCCATGGAATTTTGAATCTGGGGTTAGTCTCACCCCAGGGAGCCAAGATTGTGAAACACAGGAACTATCAGCAATGTTTCACCTATGAATTGAGACACATCAGAAATTAGTCTGGCAGAAAAAGTGAGAGGAATCAGCTTCCAGAGAGAGACAGCGATAAGAGAGAGACATCATTCGCCTCTGATTTTTGCAAGACCCAAATGCATCTCCATACTTTTCCAAGTGTGGCTGTTTGGATAATTTTGCGTGTCCCCAGTATTTATTAAATAAAATATTTGATATGTATAATATCTTTTTATTTTTATAATATTTATTTCAATATATATTTAAAATATTCTCCAAATATTAATAAAATAATTGAATACATTTAACTTTATTTAAAAAACTTTAGATCTTTACATTGCCCTTATTTTACCATATTGTAATATGATGCGGTCACTGTGGACTGAAGCTTGATAGCCTAAGGGTTATTTTCATGTAAATATCCTTGATTGGCAGGAAGGAAGCCACATTCTGAGTGTTCAATAGCCATATATGTCTACTGGGTATTGGCTACCTTGTTGGACAGCGCAGATATAGAACTTTTCCGTTATTTCAGTAAGTTCTGCTGAAAAGCCCTGTTAATCATTAAATACACAGCAAAAGCATGTGCTGTGGAGCCAACCTATTTCTCAGTATCAAGTAAGAAAAAATATGTTTATAGGAAAAAGACAGCTGAACAGAAAAGTTTAATATATAATAGAGTGTTAAATAATTTAGCTAAACTTCAGCTATACCTAAGTGCCTGGTACCTTTATTCTCTTCTATTTGTATACTTTGCTTGTAGAAAAGTACTCATGATGTCTGAATACATTAGTGGTTTGCTCAGAATAAATGGGCATATGGAGCTTTCTATGTCTCCTTTCCTTCCCCTCAATAATACAATAGTAGCTTCTATTTATGTAGTGTTGACTCTGTGCCAGGCAAAGGGGTAAGCACTTTTCATACAATATCTAAGTTAATAATATAGTAATTAGTGTGGAGCAAGTCATTTTTTTTCCCCTCCATTTTAGACTTGACAGATAATTCTCATTAACCTAATGTTTTTGCTTGTGAAAAACCTCTGCAAAGGTAGTCAGAAACTTATCCTTTAAGATTTTTTTAAAATCATGTATTTAAATCACTTAGTGAAATCTCAATTAAGGTTTCAAGATGCGCAACTGAAAATAACCAGTTTGAGGCAAGAAACATCAGGTCCTCCCCTCTTCTTTATCTTTCAATTAATTTACTTCTTTTAAATTATTCTGTCCTTACTTCTCCATTAATAATAGCACCATGCCACCTAAAGTCCTCATCTATCCTCTGCCACTATAATAGCCTCCAATAGCCTGTGCTCTCATCTCCTTTCTCAGCCATCTTCCAAATGCCACTGAAGTAATTAATTTAAAAGGTGAACTTAACCATAGAACATTAAAAGCCTTTCTCTGACTCACCATTGCCATTATTTATTCATATGACAAATATTTATAGAGCATCTTCTACATGCTAAGAACTATCCCATGAGCTGAGGATTCAGTAGTGTATAAGAAAGGTAAAGGTTCTGTCCTCATGGAGTTTAATTCCAGTAAGAAAGACTGGACAACACCATTAAAAGTGCCCTTAATTTGGCCCCTGCAAATCTTTCCAGCCTTACCTGCCTCAAACTGTAAGCACCAGCAAAGTGGAGCTTCCTACACACTCTGTGCTTTTCTGTGTCTTGGAGTGCTTCTACCATTCCAATGGAGATATTTCCAATTACTGTTTAAAGCCTAAGCTAAGGTGTTACGTTCTCTTATAATCTTGCTATCTACACCCTCCAGACACCTTATTCTATTGGGGTAGGTGCTATTGTACTCAATAGTGTGCTGGTAAATGGACGGAGAGCCTCGATTTGTGGTATTTGCTGATTTATGTGGTTAAAATACTCCCACAAGGACTGATTTCACGTACCAATGTGAATTAAGTTGGCTTACAAATTTTGTGAAAAATTAATGATTGATTGGCTTTTATGAGCCAGAGCAATCTGCCTCTAACACAGCACTGCCTCTATTGTTCTATCATAGAAACTAAGGCATATTTAATATATTTATTCTTCTCTTTTTTAAACAAATATTTGTTGAGCACTTAGTGTTCTGCAGTCTGTGCCATACCACTAAGCATTTAACAATTGGTTGAATATATGTATAATTCTCCAGCACAGAGAGCTCAGTCTAGGTATGAAGAGAATAAAATATAGCTCTGATGGGTCCATATTAGCAATAAATGTAGGGTTACTTAGACCGTATGTTAGATACTTAATTTTATTTTGCTGAGTGAATGAATGGATGAATAAATAAATACATAAGTATTTGGATGTGCATCAGTCATAGAAGAATTTACATTAGAAAAATTGTCTTCTTTTATAAAAGCAATAAAATAAAGGTAAAGAGATCTTCTGAGATCAAAGAAATTCTCCACCATGTCATTAAAAAAAGAAAAGTTGTTGCTAAGAGTAAGTAAGAGAGTCTAGAATGAGGTTTAAAAAAGAGAAAGAGAATCCCAGTGTTTTGACAACAGCTACTTAGGGAAAACTTGAGCGGCTGCATTTATTATTAAATAGAAAACAAATATCACATAATGATGTTTTTTCATGATCTCCACAGATGAAAAAAATCACTTGATAGTATATATTTTTCGAATTTTGATTGGAACTGGATCAGCTATTGTTCTTCTTTGTCTCTTGGGTTATTTGGGAATTCACTATGAAATCAGATGGCTCCTAATTCTGGTATGTATTTCACTTTAATAGCCTGAATATGTATCTTTGATTGTGAGTGTCCAAGTCACACAAATGAGCTGAATGATTTATTTTATCATAACACTGTGGTGTAGTGTGCCCTTGGGCAAAAGGCAAATGGAACAGAATATTCTTGAGGAATTTTGTATAGATCGAATCTGTACCTACCTCAGCACTTGTACACTTTGATATTAATTTTTAGCACAGAGTCAGTAAGAATTTATCTCCTACGATGAACTACAATGAACCAAGCTTGAGAATCTAAAGATTACAATTAGAATGAAGTATATTAAAGCCAATGAGCAATGTAGCTTAGCAAGGAAAAGGAAACATGTCCTGTAGTCAGCACATTTTCTCCTTATGGGCATGCCATGCAGGATCTTATAAATGAGATCACAATTTATTATTTAAAACAGAGAAATGTAACTGCTGAGAGAGGCAGACTCTGGCATCTGGCAAGTGCTCTCTCTCTCCCAAGGCATGTAACATGAAAAGATAAATTATAATCAGGAATATAGACTTGAACGTGAGCCATTTCCTATAGAGTTGGTATGTATGGAACATAATTCACACACTTAGATGTAATATAGTTTTTAACTTTTCTTTAAATCTAATTAATTTTAATTTTACAGTCACACTCCTGTCAAGCAGATGAGAAATTCAACTGCAGTCATGTGTCTTGCCGGGAAGAATGCAGAAATACTTAGCTTTTATATATCACTGAAAGTCTGGGGATCACTCCGGACAGTGGTTTTTGGTCTACACTGCTCAAGAGAACTGACTATTTGAATTTCCTTCTGTGACAGTTTTAGATCTGAATGAAGATGGTATCAACAGTTCCATTAGTCTATGAGGGTTTTCATGAAATATTATCACTTCTTTCTTTCTCACTCTTATCCAAATGTCAATTGCTATTTTTTTCTTTGCTTTTTTTGTTTTAAAAAATTCAGCCAGAGGAGAGAAAGAGCTATTAGGGAGATTATTTTATAAACTATATAAATGTCTAACTAATGTACTGTATACTTGAAACTAATAATAAAATAAAATTAAAAAATAATTTTCACTCGTGTGAGGGCAGGAAACTTCAGCAATGCCTATGTATATTTTAATACTGAATAGTTCATATGATGTACATTTTTCCATCATTGTAGTTAGCATCTAAAAATATATTAGAATTATAGTTACCATCTCCATTTTTCTTTTGTTTTAGTATGCAGTACAGTTAATAGGGGCTTTTGGTGTTCAAGTTGTACTTTCAGCACTCATCTTCACAATGAAAGAGGAGGTAAGGGAAAATCATCTTTTTATTTGAAATCTAAAAAATTTTGGATACCTTAGATTATTGAGACCCATGAGCTTATATTAAAAGCTAAAGATAAATAACTTTAGAGGGAAAAAAGAGTCAATGGAAGTACTAGAATTCTATATAGGAAGAGGCCTAAGATTAGATTGCAAGGGTGTGTTCAGGAATTTGTCTATTTTCAGAAGATTGAGAATATTGTAAATAACAAAGAATGTGGAGGAAGAAGAGTTGATACTGAGTGTGGAAAACCCAAAATTGGCCTCCCAGCTCCCCGCTCCTCCCACCCCCCACCCCGGCTACCACTGCTGACCCAATGTTTTTATAAAGAAATATCTTTAGAATTGTACTAATTTGAAATTTAGCAATTTCATTTAAGTAAGATGGACTGAAGTTGTATTTTGCATAGATATGATCATGAATGATATAGATAAATTAATTAGAACAAGATTTATATTTATCAAGGTAAGTTCAAAATAGCACATAATAAATTGCCTGAAAAACTTTTTAGTAACAAATCTTACCTATTATGACCTACAGTTAATTTTAATATTTCAAGAAACTTCAGTGTTTCAGTGTAGGCAGGGCCTGTCTTTGTATCATGAGAGATTGTCCGATAGTGAAAAGAGCGTAGATTTGAAGTAGTACAGATCTCTGACTAGAGATCAACAAGCTACTTAATAGCCTTAAGCCTGTGTCTTCATCTGTAGAGTATGGTTATACCTACCTACCTCACAGTTATCTTTAACTGACAACTTATAAATTTCCTGTCATAAAGTAGTTATTTAAGAGCCCTTTTCCTTCCATTTAATTTAGAAGAAGCCCTCAATTAGTTCTTATGCTTCCTAGCATTCAAATTCTCTCTATATGTAGACTCCTAAATAATGGCCAGACCTCAACAAAATCTTTCTTATATAATACCACTGCCTTTCAACTTTATTTGCTCTCTTGTGCTTGGCATCTACCCTAGATATCTAATCACCCATGGTCTATTGTTAACGGCCTGGCATTTGTAGCTAAAAGTTCTTCTCTCCATGTCCAAAATTGTGTGTGTGTGCGTGTGTGCGTGCACACACATACATATAGGTTTAATGGGCCAGTCCTATAAAGTGGCTTTGGGGGCAAAGCACCACATCTCCACCCATCAGCTTCTAACTTTGTTCCTCATGATCGAACCTAAATGGAACACCTAAGGACCCTTAACACATAAATATAATTCATCTGTGTCACCAATATGTACTTAAGTATTATTCACATACTTCATATTCATATTCATATTTCTCTATTTCAAGAGTAATAAGAATCATTTAATAATAATTACTATGTGTCAGAGACTGTGATAAGAACTTTCTAGGCATTATACTATGGATCTTCACAACACCTAGAAATATGTTGTTAGTCTTACTTTCTAGACCAGGAAACTGAAGCTTTTAGAGGAGAAATACTTGCCTAAATAAATCATGGCCAAATGGCAGAGCCTAGATTCAAACCCTTATTAGCTGATCCCAAACGTAACAGCTTCGTTTACATCAATTTGTCTTCTACATTAAACCTGCATTAAGCTCTTATGGGCCTCTAAATCTTTTAAACCATTTACAGGGCCTAATTCAGTGTTGGAGATGCACTAGGACTTTAACAGATGTTGGTCAAATTGACTATGTGTTAGGGAGTTTTATTTATATAGTGGTCACACGAATTGTGAACTCATTTTTACTATTATATACCAAAGTATGATTCATATGAACCTCCTAAATAATGCTTAGAGGGTAAATGAAAACATAAGTCAGCCCTCTCTCCATAGCAATTGAAAAAAGAAAAGCATCATTTTCTATTCTAACTAAAAATTAATTTACAGAATAAGTTAAATAGATAACTTAAAGATCTAAATAACACTTTACATTATTCTAATCTTAAATGTATTAAAGCATAGATATATAAGTACCTGTGTAAGAGTTTAACTTGTACAGATGTTTTCATTATTATAGCATTCCCACCAATTATTTAGTTTACATTATTCAAAAGCAGCATAATGCAACAAAAATCATTATACTAGAATTTAAATGAACCATATTTAAAAGTCTCAACTCCTCTTCCTTATTCATGTAAACAAAATAAATAATTAAATTTTCCAAGTATTTGTCTACTTGTTCAAATACAACAATAGTTAAAACGGGATAGTATCTGCCCTTTCTAACTTTTTTGGCACTTTTGAGGACCAAATTAGGAATTAGTTATGAAAGTCATATAAACTTTTGAATGCTTAAGTAGGACCAAATGCATCAACACTCACTGAGATTGCTAAAAATAATTGGGGGAGAGGGGAAAGGCACTTAGTAATAAGCAGAAAACAGCAGACTGACTGAGTACTCTTTTACAAAAAGCTATAGGGAAAGTTTCCGTCAAAATTTCACTTTTAATACAATTTTCAACAGGTTCTCCAAGTTTGGCATGATGAAATTGATTTAGTCATTTCTCAGTATGGATCTAAAGATATGCCTGAAGACATACCAAAGTGGACTATTCTGAATGTTTTACAGAAAACAGTAAGATAAAATTAGCATAAACTGAAAATTAGGTATCAAAGATGAGCACTGCAGCGGGGGAGGGGGGTGACAGGGAATGACAGAGGATCGAGGCAAAGGAATGAGAAGTTCTTGTATTTCTTTCAAACAGAATTTAATTGCATTGTCCCCACTTACAGATCTTGAGTTTTATCTTTCTTTTGTAACGTAATCTCCTTTTCTGGGTTAATTGATGTGCATTTTAACCTTGTTTCACCTATAAAAGTGTTGGTGGTTTTCTGCCAAGTGGGGTCATCTCCCCTCCTGCATCCCCGGGAGGTAAGTCTGAGTGTAGTCCTTGCTGGCAACAGAGTAGTGTGCTGGTTCCCATTTGAGCCTGAATGGCAGGATTGCCATGTGGTAGCTTTGTGACCCTGGACAAGTAGATTTCTTAATTTCACAGTTCATATCAGTAAAATGGGCAGAATAATCTCTACCTCTGATTGGCAGGAATAAATGAAGTAATATGTAAAATATTTAGAAGGCCTTGGATCTGCAACATAGTAAGGAACTAATACTTACTAGCTAATGTAGTTAAGATTGTTATTTAACAGTTCAGATTTTTTGGGGTGGGGAAAGGTCTTGGTATGGTCAGTCAAATAATTTGCAGGAATAGATCAGCACCTGGTACGTAGTAAATTCTTGATAAACATTTACATAGCACCATGCCCTTTTGTAAGTGCTTTGCATATATTAACTCATTTAATCTTCCTAGCCAATGAGGTCAGAACTATTATTCTTATTTTATAGATGAAAGACAGAGAAATTTAGTAACTGAGCCAGTATCACCCAGTGAATAAGTAAATAGCAAGTCAAGATTTTACTCTTAACTGTTATATTAGAGGCTTCACATAAAGTTATTATTTTTAGTACATTTAATTACAGAAACACATTTTAAGAGAATTGAAATGTAATTATGGATGCTTTTACTCTGCATATTTTTTCTCTGATGTGTCTGATCTATACATGTATTGCATTTTCAGATTGCATTATGTCCCATATTAGAGTATCGAACCTTCTTCTTATGATCATAAATTGATAAACAGGAAAACATTTCTATGTATGATATTACTATAATTAATGAGGATCCAGCTTACAGTTCCTAACCATGAATATAATTAACATAGTATATGCAGGTTTGGGTTGAACCAACTTTCAATATCCAAAATCTAATGTGCTATTTTAGTCATTCTACATTTCTAAGATTGTGCCAGGATTATTGGTACATGTCGTGAAGTAGGCAGTACTGATGTTATAACTTTCAATAACAGGTTTAGAAAACAATGAAATAGTCACTTCAATTTGTTTTTGTTTTCTAGGTGACATATATATAAACTGATTCTTTCAAATTCTCTCAACTCAATAGGATTAAAATTGAGACATTTCTTAAATGTTTGATCATATCTATGACTATTTTCCTTATGTCTTTCTTGGTTTTTTATAGCAATTTTCCACAGAATACAAAGTGAAAGTTAACGTCTTATATTAATCCTGACAGTAGAAATAACCCTGAATCTTTTTATGTATATTAAACACATATGGCAGCACATTTGGAATAAATATAAAGATAACTGATATAGTTAAGAGGAAGATATGGCTAAAGTGATGCTCTCTTCTATGTTCTGGCCCTAAACATAGTTTGTAGCTTTAGTAAGTCAAGTGTCTTATCTTTCATCTGTGGCTCCTATAAGATAAATTCAGATATAACAATTTCATCTAAACATAGCCCGCTTATATAAGTAGAGATCTTTATCTCTGGTTTACAGTAGCAACAACAAAGTAATAGATTAAACCAACAAAACTGTACTTATTTGTTGAATTCACTATATTTCGATGGAGAATAAATTAATAAATTCATCATAAAACACTAATATGCATGGGAATTATAAAATTAACTTTATTTTGAATATTCTATAGTACAATTCATAGAATCTTTTTCTAGTTACAGTGTTGTGGCCAACACAATTACACAGATTGGATAAAGAATAAGAGTAAAGAAAATTCAGAACAAGTGCCATGTTCTTGCACAAATTCTACGTTAAGTAAGTGGTTTTGTGATGAGCCACTGAATGCAACTTACCTACAGGTAAAAATAAATCAAGGCTGCTGTAAATATTTACAATCCCCTCTCTTTTTTTGCAAGTCAATTTAGAATTCTGAGCAAATTTTATATACAAACAATGTTAGTTGTGGTAATTAGGTTCTTAAGTGGCTTCACTAAGCTGAACCAATAATTAAGTAAATTATAATATTATTTCAGGTATGTAATAAATATATAAACTTTTTGGGAGTATGTAATCTAAGTGCTCCTAGAACTGATACCATCAACCTTTCTCTCCAACCCTCTTTTCCAAATCCTTGCAGAGGGAGGAGGCACTTTTGACAAATTTCTGGTGTAAAGGATTGGTAAGAGAGCTGCAATACCAGAATTAAAAAGGTATAAAGATTGACAAAAAGTAAAGGGAGGGGACTCCAGCAATGACAAAAGTGTCCAGATAAATGTGACAGAAGCAACAGTATAGGTTCATCTGGAGCAACTGCTATTTATAGGTATGGGATGTTGATAAACTAGGGATTTCCATCTGATAATAGTTTGTATAGTTTATATACTGTTATTCTCATTTTAAGATGTATCTTTCAATTGCACAATGTATTCATAGATAAATAGAGCTTTTTTTTTTTAAGTTTCTTTTTGAGGAGTACTAATTATTTTAAGCAGTAGTATATACCCTGCTGAATGACGATTGTCCATATAAAATCAAATCCTTCTCAAAACAATAAATTTCTGATTTCAATTGCATGCCACCATCTTAGCAACTTTAAAAGTAGCAACCGAAGTGTCTTGGTATTATATGAAGCTCTCTGGACTAAAAAGTACAGTTTCCAGTTAGACATTGACTTGCTTTTTGGACTTGGGCAAATTCCTAATCTCTATGTCTCTTCTTTGTAATGGAATTATGTATAAGGCCATGTCCATCTCCAAGTCAACCTAAGTAACTTCTTTTCCTTAGGGTTGTGAAACTAAAATCAACACATGGTATCAAGCTAATGCTTTAACATTAATTGGAATTAACTTTGGACTTTTGGTTTTAGAGGTAAGCTTTTGTTCCTATGTTTAAATATATATTTAAAAAATGAGTATAAACTATACAGAATAAACCGAAGAACAACCAGGCGGAATCCTAATCAGACAAGTTAATCTAGCAGGAGCCGGGGCCTTGAGACTATTTGCACCAAGGAGAGATATAGATACCAGCTGGAGGTGATAGCCCTAAATCAGCCAAGTGGGTAGAGCCTGTTAATAAGTGGTCATCCTGGTGGGTAGTGATTTCATGGTTTTGTGATAAAAAAAATACTTCCTATCTTGTCAGTGAGAGCACCATGTTGGGAAGTCTGCAAGTTAGCAAATTTCTGAAATCTAGGCAGATATTTGACATTGTTAAATCTACGCTAGACTCATACATTCATCCATTCAGTAAATTTGGAGGGGGAACATCTACTATGTATCAGGTACTATATTAGATGCCAGAGATACAGTAGGAAGATATATTCCATGACCTGAAGGGTGCCAACTACAGAGGTGAGATTCAGAAGCAGGACTTTATTTTCCAGTCTCAGTGAAGACTGAGAGCAAATGAAGGCTATGGATAGATTATTGCAATGTGGACTATAACATTGGAACAAATATAGAATGCATAGTTTGGCCAAAGTAGGATACTGAATTTAATTTTATGTTGATCCACCAAGCCACTGACCTAAGTTTCCATAAATTCTCTTAACTGGTAACAGTTATAGTCTCGGATAGTGAATGACAGTAAACAAAGACGTTCTTATAAGCATTAATATAGTTCTTTTGAAATGTTTAATCTCTATTATGTTCATGCTTAGATGTTTATAACAAGACTAGGGGGATGATATCTGTGCTCCATTTTATCATCTACGCTTTGCACAACACTTTTCATGATACTATGCCAAAAAGAGGCAGTTTTGTAAGATTGATGGTATAGTTAGATGATAAACAGAAAACAGATCAGCAGTTCAAGGCAGCTAGCCCAATAATAGCCAATGTAAGTAAAACTGAAAACATCCATTTCTTAGTCCCCTCTATGAAGGAACTTGGTGACAACTGGGGTTCGCTAGAACACTAACTCTACAGATTTCTTATTCACAACTGTATGTACCTTACTGTGAAATGTACTCACTCTATTTGATCCCTTTTCCCTTTACAGTATGCATTATGGTGACTGTATAGTGTTAACTTTACAAATTATTCTTATTGATTACATTTTGATCTCTTATTATTTCTTTTTCTTCCAGGTTTTGCAAGTCTCATTAAGTATCTCTTTCTCCAGACATATCAAGAATAGAATATATACAGAAATATGATCTTTAGATTTTAATTTGCCCAGAAGATTTGAGTTAATTCTCAAAGCAATTATATTATGTTATTTTTTTGCAAAATAATTGTGAGTTACATTAATGCAGTTTAGGACTTAATGAAATCATTGGTTATATGTAACATAAAATTATTGAAATTATAATAAATTGCTCCATAAAATTTTTATTAATTTGGTTTTCCAAAATATCAAAAGTTTTGAAATATCAAAAAATTCTACAGTTTAGAACTTACCTTGACTTATTTTATGCATTCGAAGGCTATTGCCACATATATTAAATTCAAAAGGTGCTGAAGTACCACCATATGTTTTGAATTTCTTACATAGAAAAAATACTTATGATGTTCAGAAAATACTAATTATGTAAGCAATTATAACATGTACCTTACATTTAAAAATTTTAAGAAAATGATACTGATTTATAAGAGACTTAAAAGAAAGTTTGAAAATTTTTATGACATGTACCTCTATACTGAATTAATCATTTATTTCTCACTTCTGATAATACTTACAAGTGGATAATAAACTTAATATTTTAGATATTTGAGTAAACTTTAGTGACAATAATAAAATATTAAAATAACAATGAATTTTTTAATTATGGCAAAAAATATGTGTTCCAAATGATCACTGAATCCCCATACTCTACTTGCTCCTCATTTTCTTCTTTTTTTCTGTAAATTTTGTTCAGTTTGTGCATGCACAATTCTCTGAAGGATACAAAAGTAACTTACCTGTTCTATTTTCCTAACAACAATATTGTAAGAACAGAAAAAAATATTATTTGAAAAATAAAAACTACTATACAGATGTGAAGTATTATTATATCATTGTTGTTCTTTATAGCAAAAGGCTGTCTCGACCTTGAGAAAATGAAGAAAGTATAGATGAACAGAAGATCCTGCAATGCTCCTACTCCTATGGATGGCTAACACTCATTTACCAATTCGATCATCTCTTTTTATCCATCTATTCAGTACACTGAAGATTTCAGAGACCTATAAACTTTTATTTTTTTAAGTCAGCACAAAAGAAAATAGAATAAGCATTTTCTCAAAAGTGACCTGTAAATAGACATGACTCCTATTCTTTAAAATTCTCTTGGGATTTAAAGCTCTTTTTTAAATTCATATTTTCTCTAAAATATGCCACAAGAACACACTGATAGCAAAAATCTTTCCCCTACTTGGGAGTTGCAAATGAACTTATGGGTAATCAAATAAATATTATAGATTGTGATTACATTTGTTTGTCCTTGAAAAAGTTCTCTGGAGACTAGATTGCCTCTTTTTAGTTAACACAGTTCATTCACAAAATGTGTGCACCACTGACTGAATTTATCACCTTTATGATTCTAGGGAATATTGTCTTGAAGGACGTTGCTTTACACTTTGAAAAAAAAGATGTTATGTAAGATAGATACTAATCATGTCCCCCTGTTTAATCACTTTTTTCCTATTTATTTTATTTTATTATTTTATTTTATTTTATTCTTTTCTGAGATAGAAAACTTAGTGAATTCTGAAAATCAATCTGGATTGGAAGTGAACCATTCAATTTAGGTTAGGATTTAGGGCAACGCTTAATCCTGATTTCCCCTTCAAATAGTCATGTTACTTTCAAAACACATTTAACTTGCTTCAGGCTCCTCATTTTAGTTATGTTTCAAAAATTCAGAGCGATTTTGTGATGGTACTATGTAAATGGAATACTTTCAAATTCTTTTAGATAAGGATATATGCGTTTAGTCAACAAGCATTTATGGAGCACCTACTGTGTGCCGGGATCATGGCTGGCTATTGGGATATGAAGATGACACAGGGCTGGCTTCAGGGGCATACAACCTGTTCTTAGAAACCACACTTGATTTAGTTCTTGGCAGTTGCCATCTTGGAATTTTAATAGTTTTTGAGCAAGGGATGTCTCATTTTGCATTGGGCTCTGTAAATGAGGTAGTCAATCCTGTACCTGTAGTTAAACTCGGAGTCAATCACACAGCCTGACATATAAATAAGTTTTATGGATGTGATATTTTTACGGATATCTAGAAAGACCAGGCCTAAGGATCAGAGAGCACTTCAAAAAAGAGCCATTCATAAGTAGAGGGCCAGGAGAGGGAGGGAGCAATTGGAGGAATCATTTTATGAATATTATAGATGTTCATTTTATAGTTTTATTGAGTGAAATGAGAAGCAATTGGCAAGTTTTGTACAAGTGACTAGGCTTGTATTTTAGTAGGAGCAATCTCACTGCCATACTGAAAACACACGTGTGGAAGCAGGGAGAACAGATTGTTTTTTTATTTAATAATCCAGAAAAGAGATTAGAGTAGGTTTGGCCAGAGATTAGGGGTGGAGTTGGTGAGAAGTGATCAGATTCTATCTACATTTTGTGATGGAGTCACCAAAATTTATCCATAGTTTGAGTGTAGAGATATAAGAGAAAAAGAAGAGTTGAATATGACTTGAGTAACTGGAACGATGGAATCCCCACTTATGGATATGGGACAGACTTGAATAAGCAAGGTATCTTAAGTTAACACATAACACTTCAAAAATCCTATGGAAGTGATTTGGTAAGTGTCTGCATCTTCCACAAGTCTTCAAGAAACTCAAGGCTGGAGATATTTCAAGTCATCATTGCAATTCCAAAGCCTTGCTCAGTACTTGACCACGTAGGTGGCCAATGAACTTTAATGAATATTATTGAGTCAAATTACTCAGTTTGCCATCAGATAAAACCGAATTGCCTTCTTAGGTTGTTTGACGATGTCTATACTCAATGGTTTTGATTTCATTAGGCTATCATAAATGTAATCTGTCCAAACTTGTTTGATAATTAGTAGCTGTGAGTTCAATTAGTCACTGCCACCCACATATCCTTTCTCCAGGAACTTAAATGAGGAGTGCTGGCAGAACAAAAACTTCTTTAAAAGTTTTACATTGAAATAAATTTTTAAAAGAATACTATAATAGATACACTGTCAGACAACCTTAAGTGTTTATTTAATGTCTGCAACATTTGTTTAATATTTGTATACTTCTATTTTCTTTTTCTGATCTTAAGGGAGTAATTCTTCAGGGACGTAAGAGTTCCTGGCAGAAGGAAATAATAAAAGTCTAATGTTTCACTGCCATGAGATAAGGCTGCAAAAGAAAAAAAAAAAAACACTATTTTATACTACCTTTTCTGTTTCGTTGTTGAGCCTCTTATTTTTCTTCTCTATTCCTTTTTATTTTTGAAGTCCCCCATTAGATGAAAAAGTCTAATGACATATTTCCAGTATACCTATAAATATGTATTGAACAACAATGAGTTTTTAACACTCATTTACTGATGATAAAAGCAGGGAGAGCAGAAGCCATTTCTTGACAAATTAAATTATACAGATTAAGCCTTTGCTAGTATTCTAAATATTTGAAACAAAGTAAAAGGGAATATTTTTGTTCAAGAACATTTGTAATGTGAAAACAAAGGGTAGAATCATTGTTGAAAATTATTAAAGGTTATTACCAATTGCATTCAAGTACAGTAGACTTTCTCCTGAATGCCCAAAAAAGTTTATGGAATGAATTATGCAGAACTGCTAATTTCTCTAATTAACAGCTCATTGCAGTTGCATATTTTATTTCAGGGGAAAAGTGTAAAAGATACTGGACAATAGAATATGTCTTTAGAAATTTCTACAGTTTTTTAAGAAAATACAAAAGTTTGTTTAATATGAATTTAAATGACATGTAAAATTTTATATGTTAGTGGAATTAGAAAGAAGATATGTAAAAAAAATCAGTCATTTCATGATTAATTTTCTAGAGTATAGACATATTAAAGTGTGGGTAAGTCAAATTCTATAACTGATATTCCAATGTAAGTTGTTTACAATTTATTCATTTATTTTATTATATTTCACTCAGGAGAGAATGTTATTTTTTTTTCATTTTAAAATGTACATTAATGCTATTGAAACACCAGAGAACAGAAAGTATTAGGAAATATTTAAACGACAAAATCAGAAATTTACACATTGTATTAAGTATACCACTATCTAATGTGTCTAAGTACTAGTAAATAAGAAATGGTTAGAATGTCATGGACCACAAGTTTAAGCCAATTGAGATTTTGAGAATTTCTTCTGTGTAAAAAAATACAGTGTGTTCTAAAAGGTCTAGAATAATTCGTTAAGAAAATTTGGGAAACATTACCAACACCCTCAAAATGAATTGTAAACAAAAGTCGCAATATTGAGGTTATTTTTCAAGTCTGTATGATATAAAGATGCTGAGTTCCAGTGTTTACATTTGTGTCAGTTGATATTTGACTTTTTGGTATAAAATTTTTCATTTAAGTCCAGTCTGCCTCAACTATTATTAGATACCTGAAACTGTGCATTTATTAGTAATTCTTAATAAATACAAGAAATAGATTACCCTGCAATCCATTATGCCAACTTATTATAAATTCACATTATATATTTATAGTAGCATATATTTACCCATATTCCTTAAAAATGTTACCAACATCATTTTTCCATCTTTTAGTCTATTTCAAAACAAATCAATCTTTTTTCTCTAATACCTCTGATATTTTTTGTTCATTCTATAAACATTATTCCAGATGTGGATTTACCATCAGAAAATTTAGGTTTTAGGTTTTTTTTTTTCACCATTGGAAACATTACCTGTCTTTATTTTCTCTAAATTAAAACTATGAGTCCCAATATTATAATCCTAACCGGGTGGACATTTTCTTCTAGTTTTCTTTGGGGAGATTCATGTGTCAACAAGAAGATAAAAAAGAGTCCTCTCATTTTCTGGGCATCCATGTCTCTTAAGCCCTCTACCATCACTGCTCCATAAAATCTTGATGTAGATTTTAGACTAAGATTCACTCAGTTCACTTGGGCCATCCACTTTGAAAGACTTACAAGAATGTCTTGCTTTAGACTTTTGAATGTGAGGGTATTTGGCAAGTATTTGTTTTCATCCTGAGGCCTCATCTTTGAG